TTTTGGTGTCTGTTTTCATAATGATGACATGTTGTATGTGCACCTTACTCTTTTCATTGTCTTGGAGATCCTTGAAAGACTATTCATTTTCTAACTCATGATTTTTTTAACTGCTGCAAAATATTTCATTGTAAGGATGTAACATAATTTATTTTCCCTCATAGAAATGCTACAATGAATGTCCTTATTTATTTTCTCTGAGTATGTGTTCAGTGTTTTTCCAGGATATTGTAAACACTTGAACATATATGTCATTGTGTCATCATGCTAGAGGTGCTACAATTTTTAAATTAAGTGTAATGGCAAAAACTACAATTACTTTTGTATCAACCTAATGTATTCTGCCATAAAATGGCTGGTCACAAAAGGATTATAATATTATTATCCCTATAAATGGTGTATGCAGGTACCTATCACTTATTTGTTCTGCTGATACTATTTGTTTTTTTGAATTTTGCCTGTTTGATGGATGAAAATTGGTATCAGCCTCCTCATGGGTTTCACTTACATTTCCCTGGTTGCTAGTGAGGGTGAGCACCTTTTAAGATGTTTATTGGCTGTTCATATTTCTCCTTTGCTAATCACATGGCTTTGAAATTTTACATTATCTGTTTTCTCTTTGTTGCCTCTGTAATTTAATTTTATTAATGATGTGAGCTAGAGAGTTAATTTTCTGTTTTACCAAATGAATAGCCAACATCATTTATTGTCTGCTGTGTTTTTTCCCACTGGTTTATATGATGTTGTTTATTATATACTAAATTTACGTGTATGCTTCCAAAGTCTTAATTCTGTCCCATTCTTTTATTTTTCTTCCGTGATTACTACAAGATTTTTGAATTGCTAAAACTTTATGATAGAAATATAAGCTTTGTATATCTATAAATAAAATACATTTTATTATAATTATATATAATTATATAGCATAGTTCTGATATGCTGTACAATTATGTATTATAAAGATATATAATTATTAATTATATATTTAAATAATATCATATACTGTAACAAAGTATAGATATATGTTTTAAATCTGGTAGGTGATATCCTGACTGATTGGTTTCATTTACTTTTTTGATTTTCCTTTTGGTTGTTTGTTCATTTTGGGTTTTAGTTGCTGCTGTTGTGTTTGGTTCAGAATTTTTCTTGAATGTCATTGCTCGTTGTTTTTTAGATGAATTTTTTAATTGATTTTTTCCAGTTCCAGTTGCAATATGGATTAGGAGAGCATTGACTTTGTAGATCATATTGAATGAAATCGGCATCTTTGTCATTTTCAGTGTTTCTGTCCAAGAACATAGTATGCTTCTGTTTCTTTAGCGCTTCTTTTATGTACTTGAATAAAATTTGTCTAACTTGTTGATGTCCCCCCTCCAAGAACCAGATATTTTTATTAAATGTATTATATTTTTTTCTGTTTCATTAGCTGATGCATTTATTTGTATTAGTCCATTAATTTTGGATTTTTTTTGTTGCTTTTTTTCAGCTTATTGAGTTGAAAGTTTAGTACACTTTTTTAAAGGATTTTTCTAACATATGCATGGAAGTGTATACCTTATTTTCTGACTGCTTTGGCCACAATCCACAGGTGTCCCACGTGGCTCTCAATATAATTCCTTGCAGAAGAAATTTTTACTTTTCATCTTGGTATTTTTATCCGAGGAACTATCTGGAACACTGGTTTTAAATTTCCAAATTTATTTTGGCTAGTTCGTTTTTAATGTCGAATTTCTGTTTGCCTTTAGTTATATGTTGAACCTATATCATTTCTGCTTTGGTATTTATTGAGATGTTCTTTGCTGCCTACTATATAGTCAGTTTGAAAGTCTGTCCCATGTGTGTTTGAAAATAACTTATGGTTTTGCTGTATAGAAAATTTGTGACTCTTGCTGTATAGACACAAATTTTCTATACATCTATTAGATCTAATTTGTTAGTCCCCTTATATCATCTATATGCTTTCTTACTTTTGGTCTACCTGACATCTGTTTTGAGGAAGGAAGCTAAAGCCACTGTCATTGTGGTTTTAACAATTTCTTCTCATATTTGGATTATTTTTTGCTTTTTACTTCTCCAGGCTATGTTATTATATGCATAAACATTTATTTTCTTCAGTCATAGCTCGGGTAAACCGGAAGTAAAGATCAAATAAACCAAATCTTTCCTCCGTGAAAAAAACCAAACCACTTTCATCCTTTCAACATAAATACTATTTTTTATGATGCTGTTATTACTTTATCTACTTTCTTTTTTGTTAATATTTGCCTGAAGCTTCTTTTCAAAATCTTTTTTGTCTTTGACAGTTGCTTGTTTTAGGTATAGCTATAATATTAGAATATAGCTATAGCTACAATGTCTTTTTTTTTTTTTTTTTTTCTTGAGACATAATCTCTCTCTGTTGCCCATGCTGGAGTATACTGGTATGATCTTGGCTCCCTGCACTCTCTGCCTCCTGGGTTCAAGCGATTCCCTGCCTCAGCCTCTTGAGTAGCTGGGACTACAGGTGCCCACCACCACATCCAGCCCATTTTTTTTGTATTTTTTGTAGAGATGGGGTTTTGGCATGTTGGCCAGCCTGGTCTTGAGCTCTTGGCCTCAAGTGATTCACCCACCTCGGCCTCCCAAAATGTCTTAATCCAAAATAAAATTCCGTATCTTATGAGTGTCTTGAACCCATTCACATGTAATGTGGTCAATGATAGACTTACTGCCTTAATGCATGTGTTTTATTTATTGTGCTTATGGTTGAAAACCATCTTCTTCATCTCTGGATCATCAGAGCCAATCAGAGGGCTTGGCTCAAAACAGTAGGTATTCAACAAATGCTCATTGAATAAAAATGTCCTTGATCCTCTGATTCTGATTTGATTTGAGAAACAACTTATGGCAAAACAGCTCAGTTGTAATGGGTTGGGGAATACAATTCAAATTATTGGTGAAAGATGTTTCAAGAAATATTTAGGTTGTATTATTAAATATTAGATACTTTCTGTTTATATAGATTTAACATACAAAGATTTTAAGTTTTCTGTATATGTGAGTTCTTGTTCACAGCAGTTCCTGCTGATAATGACAGGGGCATGGGGATGAGGGTGAAAACAGTATCTCAGGACTGGAGAAGGAAATCTAAGATACTGTCTCCACCAGCCACACTCCTCATGAGAGTGCACATGGAAGGACATTTCCCAGCCACAGTGAATCCCTTTATTTGTCTTAGTTTCAGATTTGGGTCTCAGATTTCTTTGTAATTTCAGTTGCATCTACCAGAGGAGTACTAGATAATTTGTTTATTTTAAGCAAATAATATTATGGCAACATTATCTTTATTGCAAAGTGCTCCTCCAGAAGAACCACTATGCTGGATAAAGGCAAACGTGAATTAAGGTTAGGTAAGAGTGAAAGCAGGGTGGCTCACAACCCATTAGCTGTCATTTTCCTACTTTAATTGACAAAGAAATTTAAAAAATAAAAGAAGCATACGTTATGCTTGAATGCGAAGAGTACTAGACTAGAATGAAAGGGCTCTCAGATCTGGCTGTGTCATTTGGGCTCATGAAAACACCTTTGGAAATCTCTTTCAATGCAAAGGAGCTGGACTGGTTGATCTCTCAGGCTTCTCCCAACTCTAAAATATTTCCAGTCTGCCTTGGAAATATCTGATGTGAGACTCTAGTAACAGTTAACCTAATTGGCACCCTTAAATTCTGCCATGAGCTGCTTGCAACTCGAAACAAGTTTATCTTACTCAGTTATGAATGATAAGCCCCCTAGATTTCAGAGCTGTGAGTACCGAGTTAAGCGTTGATGTGTGCTTTTGAAACCATTACATATGGTGGTTACTGAGCTGAAAGGATTGAACCCTGCAGCTTCCCCAGCTGCTCTTCCTCCATTAGAGCAGTGCCTGCCCCCAGTATTTTGTGGCACTTGGGAGACAAGACAGAGGCCAAAGGCAGCTTTTTATTCTGGGCTTCCCTCTACAGTGCAGAACTCAGGTTGTTTCTTCTTTCTTCCCTAAAATGACATGAATTTGCATGATGAACTGAAGAAACCATACACAGGAGGCACTGTCTTCTTGCCTGAATTTCAGCTGGAAGCTTGGAGATTTGGGGTTCAACAGAGATAAGGAAGCATAAGCCTTAATCCCTTCTGGTGGCTTGTGATACACACTGCTCTGTGCTGAGGCTAATGGCCAGGATCAGAGTTGACTTAAAAAAAAAAAAAGAAAACAACCTCACAGGTTGCCCAAGCAAATAGAGAACATAACTTTATCCATCAATATTTTTTTCCATTCTTCTAAAACATTAATTTGGGCTCTAACAACCATTCCCATGATCTTTACCTCTCCTTGGGAATGCAGATAATTTGAACAGTAGTTTCAAGCTATTTTTCTTGGAATGCAGAAGTTCCCATAAGCCCTTCAAAGACGCCTGAGGGCAAGAAGAGGGGCAGCAGTAAGCAGGGCTCAGGCCTCTTTAACACAGACACATGAACGTAAGTAGCACATTTGCACCAACACTGGAGGGAAATTCAATATATTTTAACATGACTGTAATTACTAGTGGTGGGACTATAGGCTTTTGTAGCCCCTCTCTAAATGTTCACATGTGTTTTATATGCATGTGTGTGTTGTGTATTTGTATATCTGTATATACACATGTATATGTATAGAAACACATACATATATGTATGCATATTTGTACATATAGGTATATATGTGTGTAATGGGTACATATCGGTACATATATGTGTATGTATGTATATATCAATACATATATGTGTTGATATATGTATATATTTTTTTCCTCAAAAGAAATTGAAATGATGACATTTTAGATTGCAAAAGTGAATTGTCTGAGTTCTGCTAAGGAAAAAGGGCTTCTGCTTCTGCTGCCTGTGAGACTGTACTGTCAGCAGTCGTGACCCCCCAGGCCCTGTACCGCGAGGCAGAGTCTTCCCCTGGCCATGGCCAGCTCTCCTAACCAACTTTCTCTTCCCCCCAGAATGGCTGCAGTCTGTCCAGGCCACCATGATCCTGTCAATCATCTTCAGCGTTCTGTCTCTGTTCCTGTTCTTCTGCCAACTCTTCACCCTCACCAAGGGGGGCAGATTTTACATCACTGGAATCTTCCAAATCCTTGCTGGTAAGTTGTAGATGGTAAAGTCCATGTGGAAGCAGGGCCCATCCAAGGCTGCGGAAGGATTAGTTTAGTAGAAGGATGTAGCCCCAGAATGACTGATGTTCATGAGTTTACCACTGGATGCTTTCCATAAAGTGAGGGTGGGTTCTCGTGTGTGTGTGTGTGTGTGTGTGTACGTGTGTACATGTCTTAGAACTTGGAACTTAGAACGCTCCCCTTCTCCCTGGAATGAGATGCATATGAAAGAGAACTTAGAGAACCTGAAAGGAAGGTCCCCACCCAAGCTCGGCATATCACCAGGAATGAAACTACAATCTGGACACATAATCAGAGGTGAATATGAGGCTATCAATAGAGCAAACGTCAGGCTTGAGAACTATTTCCTGTAGATTACATTATGCCTCCAGATGATGGCCCTGATGTGCTAAGAACGGGCAAAGTTGTTCTCAGGTACGTGTCTTCTACCAGGAGGTAGTGATGAAGTCACGCTGACAAATTCTCACCTGCCTTGCTTCCGGTTCCTAGATTCCACTGGCTATGATTTACTGCTGTCATCCTCTGATATCTTCATTTTGGCAGTCCTGTGTAACATATCATCATTTCCAAACATGGGACCATAACAGCACGTGAAAACACATGAGAGGTCTCTTTAATCTCTTCTCTAAACTGTCTTCAAGTTCCCTCATTAAATAGATTATTAATATACACAGGGCGCACAGTCCTAGAAACTTCTACTACGCAGGGTGACATTTTCCAACTTTGTCTCTGGATTCTGCCTAGCATCTTGCTTCATTAGCTCTTATCTGTCTATCTGTTGACTTACTGTGGACTGAGCCAGGAGGACATTGGAGAGAAGTAAGAGGCAGATGCAGTGGTGGACTCCGTGGTCCGAATTCATAGATCATGAACTTCATATGTACCATCATGTCTGGGTACTGTGAGATGTTCTCAGTTCTGACCCTCTGAGAGGGCAAAGACTGTAGCATCTCTTCTCTGAGTTTTTTGTCTAGATGCCCATGGTACCATTTCACCACCCTGTGCTCAGGAGCAGTCGCTGGAAAGTTGAAGGCAGCCCATGTGTGTTTGATGGATATAATGCCTTAATTAGGGTTATATGGGAAGATACAGCCTGAGTTTACATATTGGTGACCTTTTCTAGAAGCCAGAGAGTTCCCCTTTCCTGAAAAAAGGAAGTCAATGATGAACCACTTCTTATTAAACACTTAAATACAACATTTCAATTCTCATGGTTTTGAGATTTCAAAACCAAAGTGCTTTGCTACTTACCCATGCCCTATTACAACAAGCCAAATTCCTGGATGGTTGTTGGCTCTGTTAAATGACTGATTATGTAAGGAGATACCATTTCTTGGTACGTTAAAGTGAAGAGTTATCCTTACTCACTCAATTTTCAGATCTAATAAAGACAACTGTAACATATCCTGGCATTTCTTTTTTTGCTTACTGGTTTTAGTTTGACATCAAATCAAATAATGATCATATCCATTACATCAGTGGATATGCCCAGGAACCAGAAGTTCCATAATGTATTTATATTGAAATGTTAGCTTCCTAAGTGATGATTGGGTTTTCATGCTCATGTGTGAGATGTCCCTCTCTCAAACCTTGTTATGATGTTGGCACATTACCTATCTGATGTGAAAAGGATTACATTCTATTTGTACAGGTTTGTTATTTTATTGATGAATCAATTGAGCCCACCAGAGGGTAAATGAATGTCCAGTGTCACCCAGCTCGTGACATGACAGAGACAGTTGTTTACACTGAATGTAGTGAATTACTTATCCTTATATTTTTAAAGACAGAATCCACCAAAAAATTTAAAGAACACAAAATCCAAGGCAGAAGGTCTGCTTTTTATATCATCTTTTATTGGAACTAATTTACAGTGGAAGGTAAATGCAAATTGGAACCATGTATTATTCTGAAGTGCCAAGCACCTGTGATGAATACAAGCCTCTACTGTAAGACTCAATCACATTCAAAGTATAGAGCTGAGAGGAGCTGAGCTGCTGTTGAGGGGTCTCCTTAGGATAGGCAGCACCTTCATCTTCATTCATGCTGCTGAGCTGTTTCGGTCTTACCTCCGTCCTCTAACGAGGTCTTTTTAGCAACATCGTTACACCATTTGAGGCCCAAACTCAAAGTCCAGAGATAAGAACCCTTAAGTAACTGCACTGTGTGTTAAAAGTATTTCAGTTCAACCAAACACTCTTCTCCTAGGTATTGTGAAGTAAGTATATTTACTAATCCACCCTTGCTTCACTATTTTCATTCTCCTAAATCAATACAAGATGTTTAGAACTGTGCTGTTTAAGTGCAGAATTCTGAGTGTAAGCTGGGCATGGTGGTGGACGCCTGTAATCCTAGCTACTCGGGAGACTGAGGCAGGAGAATCACTTGAACCCAGGAGGCAGAGGTTGCAGTGAGCTGAGATCGTACCATGGCACTCCCGCTGGGCGAAAAGAGTGAAACTTCGTCTCAAAAGAAAAAAGCACCCGACTTTGTCCCCTTTTATCCCCTTTATATTTAACCAGTTACCTCTCGTGAGACTGACTTTCAGTTATTAGTTGGTCCACATTTGAATAGGAAGTTATCTTGAATTTGAAATGCTGAGCTGTAATAGCAGTTGTAATCTGTAGGTCCTGAGAATGTCCTGTCCTTCGTTGGTAATCCCGGTCACAGTAATCTGAGAGCTGGTCTCCTGGGAACCTCAGCTCTCTAGGATGATGCGTTGGAAATGGCTGCAGGGTCTTTCCACTAATGCTGAGAACTGAAAGAGTTAGAAACTCTACTTAAAGATTTCCTGGCTCCCTTATCGTGTGACAGTTCTAAATCAATTTTGTCATGCGTTTTTCTGACTCACAGACTGGTAAGAAGTTAGTAATTGGAGAGCTAATTAGAGTAGGGTTGTTGGAGATGAGAAACCAGGTTTTGGGAAAACCTGGTAAGTGACAACATCAAGGAAGTAGTCGGAGAAGCTAAAACTGACAAACAAAAGGAAAGGAAAGAAAGAAGGGAAAGAGAAAGGAAGGGAGAGAAGGAGGGAAAGAGAGAGAGAGAGAAAGAAAGAGGGGAGAAGGAGAGGAAGAGAGAAAGAAAGAGAGAGGACAGAAGGAAGAAAAAGTAGCTCCACAATCATGGGATGTGAAATCTACAAGCATGCATGCAGGGCAAATGCTTCTTCAATGCACTGAAGCATTTTAAGTGGAAACCACTAGAATCTCTGTGTAGTCTCCTGAAGTAGCTGTTATGGGCTGTTATCTCTGCACAGCTTCCCCTCGGTGAGCCCAGCTGTGGTCTTTATGGATGGCACACATGAGCCTTTGGGAAAAGCACGTGAAGTGTTAGGGCTCTTGGAGCTGACTGTAGGTTTGGGAGCTGTCTCTGTCTCCTTGCTGTAGATTACAGCTCTGTGTGTCGTTTGGGGTCTCCATGGTTCGCCAAATCATCTCTTTTTCACTTAGCCACAAGGCTCACAGTTAGGGCCCATCTTTTCTTGACTGCATTAGGTTGGCTGCTTCCTGAATGCATATCAAAAGGCTACTTCCTCTAGTTCAGTGCCTTCAACCTGAGCTGTGCATCAGAGTCACCCGAGGTCCTTTTGAAAAGACGTGACAGTAGGCTGGGCACAGTGGCTCATGCCTGTAATCCTAGCACTTTGGGAGGGTGAGGTGGGCAGATCACTTGAGGTCAGGAGTTCAAGACCAGCCTGGCCAACATGGGGAAACCCTGTCTCTACTAAAAATAATAGAGTTAGCCAAGCATGCTGGTGCACGTCATTAGTCCTAGCTACTTGAAAAACTGAGGCAGATGAGAATTGCTTGAACCCACGAGGTAGAGGCTGCAGTGAGCCGAGATCATGCCACTGCACTCCAGCCTGGGCAACAGAGTAAGACTGTCTTGAATTAAAAAAAAAAAAAAAAGGATTCAGGCCTCATCCCTGGAGACTCTCATTTAATAGTTGTGGGATAGATCCACTGACTAAGTGACTCTGATGTGCATTTAGGGTTGGGACCCACTGACGTAGCCATCAAACTGCCCCTAGTCTCACTGTAAGATTTTCTAGGATGTTTTCCCAGAAACAACTAAACCACCTTCTTAGAGAAGGAATCTCCTGATCCTCTGTCTGGACTTTGGAGTCATTCTTATTTTTGGAACCTATAGCCATCTATTCGTAGACGGTAGTTATCCATGCCTTAGCTCTGCTGGGTTGGGTTGCACGAGACTGGAAAACATCAAGAAATTAGTGTAGACACAGACCAAAAAGAAAGATTTGCATGTTTTGATTTATCTCACTACTTACACCCAGCGTCAAGCTCCGTGTGAGGCACGTAGAGGAGCCTGAACAAAACTGTTGGTTGGATGATTAGATAATTGTGTTTCCTTGGCAGAATCAAATTCAAGTCAAATGTGTAGTTGCTAGGATTAAGAAGAAAAAGAATAGAGAGGACTTATGAGTGAGTTTTACCTTGTCTACCGTTTTGTTATTATTGTTCATTTGTTTTGTTAATAGAAAGATCAATAGAGCTATAGAGCGTTCAGAATAAAAGCATTTGGGCCAGGTATGGTCTCTAATGCCTGTAATCCCAACACTTTGGAAGACTGAGGTGAGAGGATCACTTGAAGCCAGGAGTTCGAGACTGGCCTCTGCAACAAAGCAAGTCCCCATCTCTACAAAAAATCATGTACAAATTAGCCAGGTGCCTTTGAGCACACCTGTGGTTCCAGCTATTCAGGAGGCTGAGGCAAGAGGATTGCTTAAGGCTGGGAGGTCAGGACTGCAGTGAGCTATGATCAGGCCACTGCGCTTGCTCCAGCCTGGGTGACAGAGTGAGACCTGCCTCTCTAAGAAAAAAGAAGAATTTAGTGAGGGGATTAATAAAAGTTCAGTGCCATCCTGTTCAGAGTGATTCAAAGATGGCTTATGTCGAATACCACATTGAGGACATTTTGTTAGGGGTGAATGATTCTGGATGTCTCACTGGCCAGGCCCAGATCAGAGTCAATGCTATGAGTGGCCTTCTAGGTAGCAATGGTCACTTGGGTACAGAAAATGAAACAGGAATGGACGTCAATCACAGAAACACAGAGAGGTTTCCTGCTTTCAGAGGAACAGGCCTCATCCCCTTCCTGTCCTGCCTCATTGCCCTGAAGATGAAGGGGGAGGAAGACAAAGGCACCCACTCATCACCCCAACGTCATGGCTGCGCCTTCCAGTGGCCATCCTGGCGGTCTCACTGACATCGCCTTTCCAGCCAATTTCTCTCTGGCTTCTGCTCCAGACTCTCAAATAAAAGTGCTTTTGCTGAGATTCCCAAAGTACATTTGGAAGTCTTTAATTTGCTGGATCACCCTGCTCCTTTCAGTACTGTTAGCTACTCACTCCTTGAGGCTTTATTCCTCTGGCTTCTGAGACATCGCCGTGTTCCCCCCTTGGCTGAGTGAACACATGCTGTCCTCTCCTCTCTTTCCCTCACTCCGCAGCCAGCCCTCTACTGCAGGCGTCCCCAAACTTTTTACACAGGGGGCCAGTTCACTGTCCCTCAGACCGTTGGAGGGCCGCCACATACTGTGCTCCTCTCACTGACCACCAATGAAAGAGGTGCCCCTTCCTGAAGTGCGGCGGGGGGCCGGATAAATGGCCTCAGGGGGCCGCATGCGGCCGGCGGGCTGTAGTTTGGGGATGCCTGCTCTACTGAGTCCTGCGTTTCTGTAGCATCCTCTGTAGGCATTACGCTCGTTTCTTTTGTTTGGACTCACTAACACCAGTGCAGCTATGCAGAGGCCTCCTCATATACCTTCCAGCTACCTGCCTTGTCCCTGTCCCTGAATCCATTTTCTGCACCGTGGCCAGAGTGATCAATCTAAGACGGGGACATGTTTCTCCTGATATGTTTCTTCTCTGCTGAAGCTTCCTCAGAGGCGTCTCAGCACAACTTCCTTAATGTGCCATGTAAGGCTCTCTCTTTCCTGGCCCTCAGTGAGCTCTCGGCCTATTATCTGAGAGTCCATGTGGCCCCTCCAGTTCCCTGGTTTGGACTCAGTGCCCGTCTATGCTTTTAAGACATCTAGTGCATTTCCTTCCCTCTCTTGAAATTCCATCAGACGATATCAAAATTCTATGCAGATGTCTGTCTTCCAGACACAGAGTCTTTAAGGTAGGAGCCATGTCTCACTTATCTCGGTGCATCTAAAGCAGCAGCTAGAACAGTGCCCGCATACAGTAGGCACTCATTAAATGTTCACTGAACCAAAGGGAATGGAGATGATAAGGATGTACAGGGAATTCCCTCAGCTGCTCCCTTTGACCTTGACTCCTTGGCGCTCCCTTCCAAAGGCTCTGGGCTCTCATCACTCTCAGGGGGTTGCAGTCACTGTTAACGGAGCCTAAGACTTTCTCTTCAAAAGGGCTTGAGGGAGAACTTGTGGGAAGTTGTTGCAGACGTAGCCATCCTGAGACAGGGAGAAACTCTTGTAAGTTCAGTGCCCGACACATGTATGTTGTCTGGACAGGGTCAGTGTCCTTCTGCTTAAAGCTGATCTATGCTCCCAGGCTCAGGCCTCTCCCAGGGAGTCCTGGTCACTGCCAAAGTGCAGAACACCTGCCTATGCCTCGGGGCCTCACCCTTGCCACAGGGACCTGGCGATGCATCTCCATCTACTGGTTGCTGAGAAAGTGAGTGACAGTCCCCTTATTAGGAGGTGTATTTGGCTTTTGGAGATGACTCCTGGATGATGTGAACTGCCTTGGGTTGCAGGCAGAAGGAGGCCAGCCAAAGAATCATCCTTTTCTATATATTTCAGGGTACATCTATTGCTTTACCTGCAGACACTCTTGTAATAATATACTCCCTAAAACATCACTCTCCTGACAACAATCACATAAAGTGTGTATCTCCTCTCTGGCTTTGTAGGTATCTAAGTTTACTGTTTATCACAGTGAAGCTTAGAGTCATTCACTGCTGAGATTCTACTAAGATGAAAGTCATACACATTAAGCTGTCTGGTTAGCCACTGCGCTTCTGTTTACTGCCTCTTTCTGTCCCTCTTGTTCAGGGATGGAATCTGATGTTTTCTCTTAGCCAGGGACATCGGGAAGGAGCTGGTCCACTCAGCTCCTGAGGCATTTCTCATGCCAGATCTGGTTAGACAGCCCACTTTGGAGCCCTGCCTGCACAGCGATAAGTGTGGTCCTGCCCTGCTAGCACTCCGTTAACACCTTGCTCTCTGCCAAGGTCATGCTTCCTTTGTTATAGCGCTGCCTTCATTAGATAAGTCAGACAGAACTCGGGAGACAACTTCGGTATTTCTTAAAGACAAGAGTTAGCACTTTGGAGAGGCAAGCCATGAAGCAGTGGGGCAAGATAATTAAGGATCCTGGACATCAAGGCAAATAAAGTGTGTCCCCAGCAGATCAAAACTGCTGCTTTCCTCCATCAGCTATTAACCAGCCATGATTTCCCCCCTGACACAGCCATCTTTGCTGACCTCTGGACTTCCTGTAGGTGGCAGGTCCTGGATTCCATCCCATTTTGGTTCCAAGGCTATTGTGTGGCTCTGTCAACGGAGGCCAATCAAGTGGGAGTTTTCTCCTCTGAGTTGCAGGACGGTCTTAACAGGGTGTTTAATGTGGTGTATTCCCACTACCGCACTGTCTCCAGACAAAGTTGCAGTGTCCAGTAAAACAGCAGCCCAAATAGCAGTGAGGTTAAATGTAGGTGGCTGAGGTGGTGGGAGGGGCGTGCATTGGGAGCTCTGGAACCACATGAATCCCACACGGCATGCTGGGTTTATAATAGAGTCACTCAGAGCTTCTCAAAAGACCCTGTTTTCAGGGAGGAAACAGACCTGGCTTTGTGCAGCTCCAGGCTAGCGTGCTGGTATCACTAGGCCCCTTCTTGTCGGGGGACGCTGATTGTCACATGGGCTGGGGCCATCAGTTTGACCTTGGCTGCTCCACAGGGTTCAAGGTGGAGGCCTTTCTTTTCTAAACCACATTGAAGGGCTGCATTGGTGGGCCAGGGAGGGTGGCCTGACTCACGTGTGTATCCAATGCCCTTTATCCCTCTTTGGGCTTCAGATGCAGCCTTGGCGCACGCAGGCAAATGGAGCCTGCCTTTGATCATCTTCCCCGCCACAGCGTGGTTCCCACTCATACTGTCTGCTGCGTCCTCGCGTCTTCCTTTCTTTTCCCCCGTCCATACATTCCTTGGCTTGACAGCGCCCACAGGCATTGCTTGCTTCATCTGGTACGCGGCAACTCTGCTAGCAGAACCATGGGTCCCTGTGGTCTGCGTGGAGCTTAATGCTTTTACCATGACATGACTCCAATAATGGTTAAATGTCATCTTCCATTGGTTTCAGGTAATGCCACAACTCATTTGTGGAGTGGTACATAGATTTCCAGGGGTTTCCATACCCAGCCACTCTCGCAAAAAGACAGGCAGGTTCTTCCTGCAGTCTGAAGGCTTGCTGGCCAGGTAGTGTGGCCTGGAAATTGGTGACAGTTAAAGAAAGAGAAATGGGGCAGAAAACGTAAAGAAAACCCTAAGAGATGATGGCCTGGATGGCCGAGATTGGAAGCGGAGAGCAAGTCGTTTTCCTTGTTCCCATATTTTTGAGCTGCCTCCTTTCAGTTCTGGACCTGGAAGCAGGTCCCTTCCAGAGGTAGAAACGTTCCTCCTCCCCAGCGTTTGTCAGCATCGGGGTGGCAGAGAGGGGGCCGCTCTGCCATGGACTCTCCCTCACCCAGCTTGTCTTTCTCCTCCTCCAGGTCTGTGCGTGATGAGTGCTGCGGCCATCTACACGGTGAGGCACCCGGAATGGCATCTCAACTCAGACTATTCCTATGGCTTCGCCTACATCCTGGCCTGGGTGGCCTTCCCCCTGGCCCTTCTCAGCGGTGTCGTCTACGTGATCTTGCGGAAACGCGAATGAGGCGCCCAGACAGTCTGTCTGAGGCTCTGAGCGTATACAGGGAAGGGAGGAAGGGAAACCAAAAAACAGGAAAAAAAAAAAAAAAAAAAAAAAAAGAGCTAGCCCAAAATCCTAAACTCAAACCAAACCAAACAGAAAGCAGTGGAAGTGGGGGTTGCTGTTGATTGAAGATGTATATAATATCTCCGGTTTATAAAACCTATTTATAACACTTTTTACATATATGTACATAGTACTGTTTGCTTTTTATGTTGACCATCAGCCTCGTGTTGAACCTTAAAGAAGTAGCTAAGGAACTTTACATCCTAACAGTATAATCCAGCTCAGTATTTTTGTTTTGTTTTGTTTGTTTGTTTGTTTTGCCCAGAAATAAAACAACTCCATGTTGCCCCTTCCCTTTCATCTGAAAGAAGATACCTCCCTCCCAGTCCGCCTCATATAGAAAACCAAAGTGTGGGTGGAAGCCCCAAATGTCCAAAAGCCCTTTTCTGGTGGGTGACCCAGTGCATCCAACAGAAACAGCTGCTGCCTGAACCTCCGTGTGAAGCTTTCTGTGCACATGCACAAAACGCCCAAACTGGAGCCCTTGCAAAAACGGGGCTAGTGGCTTTGGCATACTTGCCCTTGCAGGTGGAGTATCTCGGTCACACATCTAAATGAGAAATCAGTGACAACAAATCTGTGAAATGGTGCTATAGATTTACCATTCCTTATGATCACTAATCATCTAAATGACTCACTGGAAATCCAATTAACGATTTTACAACATAAAATAGAATGGAGACCTGAATAATTCTGTGTAATATAAATGGTTTATAACTGCTTTTGTACCTAGCTAGGCTGCTATTATTACTATAATGAGCAAATCATAAAGCCTTCATCACTCCCACATTTTTCTTACGGTCGGAGCATCAGAACCAAGTGTCTAGACTCCTTGGGACCATGAGTTCCCAGAGCTTGGCTGGGTCTAGGCTGTTCTGTGCCTCCAAGGACTGTCTGGCGATGACTTGTATTGGCCACCAACTGTAGATGTATATATGGTGCCCTTCTGATGCTAAGACTCCAGACCTTTCATTTTTGCTTTGCATTTTCTGATTTTATACCAACTGTGTGGACTAAGACGCATTAAAATAAACATCAGAGTAACTCACTGGTCTCTCTTGAGTTTTTCTGGGGACGTGAGTGTGGGTATAAGGTTCACATTGGAGCGGGGTGAAGAGCTTCAGTGGAATGCAAAGTTGAACTGGAGATTCGGGTTACAGGATGATGCTGAGGCACCAAAATCATAGCTGTTTTACAGGCTACAGGGAGTCCACAGTGCCTTCAGATGTCTGCTAATTGGTGACAGATGTGAATTGTAGCTGAAATGGAAGCTGTAAATGGACTGGAAGGCACTTGAGTATTCATTTAATTCAACCTTCTCTCATGCTCTGTTGTCTGAGGACCCACATTGAAAACATGGAGGCATGTCATGAGCTCCCCTGATATATCAGGAATGTTGGCATAAGCATCCCAGATCCTGAACCTTGATGTATGGTACGGCGAAAGGTCTCAATGATGGTGACTTGAGGCCAGACTTGCAGATAAAACATTTGTTGGCACCAACTAAGTTCCTAATGCCATCCTGAAGGAGGGAAAGGGCCAACCTTGTTATCCAGCTCAGGGTTTCTGAGTTGTGTCTCACACATCCGTATTTTTACCCATTTTTATTGTGTGTCTCAAAATAACAAGCAAATGATGCACTTGATAGCCCTCAATATTTATTATGCACCTACTTTGAATTGGGTTCTGGAGATAAAGAATGACATATATCTTAACATTGAAAGGTCACATTTTAGTGAGAGGTACAAGTGAACAAGCGACTATATTATAATAGGGTTAAGAGCATAGAAGGGAGAGCTTGGGTTTGAGACTGTCCTTTGCTACTTATAAGTTGTAGGGGGCCGAAAAGTTACTTAAACCCTAAGATTCTGTTTTCTCATTTATAAAACAGGTATGCCAATAACAAGGCTACAGGGCTGTGGGCATTTAAAGCAAGTTATATAGATAGTGTTCCGCACAGTGACTAGTACCTAGAGAGCACTCTAAGGATTAGAGTTGTGATTGCACATGTTACAACAGAGGTGTGTTTGAAAGAGCACAGAAGGAAACACCTTGACTGTTATGTGGGATTCTCAGTATCAAGCTGTGCATAGGAATCTCCCATGCAGGAATTCCCATTAGAGATTTGGATTCCCTGTTTCCGTGATGGAACCCACGCTAGGCTGATAGGTTTAAAGAACACTTCTGGTGATTACAGCATGCAACTGGAGATTATACCTCTGAGCTAGTGCAGGAGGTCTTATACTTCAACATGCCAGTGAATCACCTGGGAATCCAATAGCATACACATTCTGAATTCTTAGGTCCAGGCGGGGCTTGAGATTCTGCATTTCCAATTAGTGCCTGGGTGAGGTGGATGCTGCTTGTCCACCGACCACATTTTGCATAGCAGGGGTCTGGCACGAAGCCACCTTCAGATATCTTGTGCTCGTCTGTCTTCGGGTGAGTGTGAAGGAAGGACTTCTCCTTTCTGAAGTTTTTGGTAGTGACCTGCTACTCTGCTTCTGACTCAGATAGTTTTAAGGTGGCACAGGTGGCCATGAGATGCATGTGAGATTAAGAAAACTAGGAATTTTATTTCATGAGCTGTTACTTTTTTTTTTTTTAATTGTACTTTAGGTTCTGGGGTACATGTGCAGCGCATGCAGGATTGTTGCATAGGTACATACATGGCAAGGTGGTTTGCTGCCTTCATCCCCCCCATCACCTATATCTGGTATTTCTCCCCACATTATCCCTCCCCACTCTCCCTGCCCCCTGCTGTCTCTCTCCTAGCACCCCTCAACTGACCACAGTGTGTGATGCTCCCCTTCCTGTGTCCACGTATTCTAATTGTTCAACACCCACCTATAAGTGAGAACATTCAGTGTTTGGTTTTCTGTTCTTCTGTCAGTTTGCCGAGAATGATAGTTTACAGAGTCATCCATGTCCCTATGAAGGACACAAACTCATCATTTTTTATGGCTGCATAGTATTCGATGGGGTATATGTGCCACATTTTCTTTATCCAGTCTATTGTTGATGGACATTTGGGTTGGTTCCGAGTCTTTGCTATTGTAAACAGTGCTGCAATAAACATATGTGTGCAGGTGTCTTTATAACAGAACAATTTATAATTCTTTGGGTATATATATTTAGCTCTTCTGGTTGTATTGATCCTTTTACCATTATGTAATGCCCTTCTTGGTCTCTTTTGATTTTTGTTGGTTTAAAGTCCATTTTATCAGAGACTAGGATTGCCACCCCTACTTTTTTGGCTCTCCATTTGCTTTATAAATATTCTTCCATCCCTTTATTTTGAGTCTTTGTGTGTCTTTGCATGTAAGATGGGTCTCCTAAATAGAGCACACTGATGGTTCTAGGCTTTTTATCCAGTTTTCCAGTCTGTGTCTTTTGATTGGGGCATTTAGTCCATTTACATTTAATGTTAATATTGTTATGTGTGAATTTGATCCCGCCATTTCATTACTGTTTTTTTGTTTTACCCTTTGGTTGGCGTAATTTCTTCATTTAATCATTGGTCTTTACCATTTGGTTCTTTTTTGCAGTGGCTGGTACTGGTTTTCCCTTTCTGTGTTTAGTGCTTCCTGCAGGAGCTCTTGTAGGGCAGGTCTGGTAGTGACAAAATCTCTCAGCAATTACTTGTCCATAATGGATTTTATTTCTCCATCACTTATGAAGCTTAGTTTGGCTGGATATGAAATTCTGGGTTGAAAGTTCTTTTCTATAAGGATGTTGAATATTGGCCCCCACTCTCTTCTGGCTTGTAGGGCTTCTGCTGAGAGATCTGCTGTGAGTTTGATGTGCTTCCCTTTGTGGGTAAACCGACCTTTCTCTCTGGCTGCCCTTAGGATTTTTTCCTTCATTTCAACCAAATATTTAAAGAAGAATTAATACCAAATCTTAACAAACTCCTCCGAAAAATAGGTAACAATGATCTCTTCCTACAAAGCCAGTGTGACCTTGTTATCAAAACCAAAGATATCACAAGAAATAAAAACTACAGACCAAAGTTTCTTATGAATATGAATATAAAAATCTTTCACAAAATACTAGCAAACTATTTCAGCTACATGTAAAAGCATTATACATCACAGACAAGTGGGATTTATCCTAGGGAGGCACATTTGGCTCCATATTTGAAAATGAACTAATGTAAAACATAAACAGAATAAAAAGCAAAAATCACATGATCATTTCAATAGATTCAAAAATGCATTTGACAAAATTCAATATCCTTTGGTGATAAAAAACACTCAACAGACTAGTAATGAAGGGGAACTCCCCCAACCGGATAAAAGATAACTATGAAAAATCCATACCTAGCATCATATTTATTGGTGAAATATTAGATGCTTCCTCTTTAAGATCAGGAACAAGACAAGGATGTCTGCTTTCAACACCTCTATTTAACGTTTTGCAGGGGGTGTTCCACCCAGTGCAATTAGGCAAGAAAAAGAAATACAAGACATCCAGATTTGAAAAGAATATTAAAACTATCTCTATTCATAGATGATAGGACCTTGTATTTAGAAAATCCTAAGGAATCCACTAAAAACTTATTAGAACTAGTAAAGAAATTCAGCAAGAATTAATATACAAAAATCAATTATATTTGACGAGCTGATTCTAAAATTCGAATACTTGCAATTAAAGGTTTAAAAATAAAATTAAGAAAACAATTCTACTTATAATAGCATCAAAAGGCTAAAATAAATAGAAATAAATTTAAGTAAAGAATGGCAAAGCTTACACTGTGAAAATTATAAAATATTATTGGAAGCCATTAAAATAGACCTAAATCAGGAAAAACATCCTAGATTCACAGATTAAAAAGCTTAACATTGTTAAGATGGTATTGCTCCCAAACTGTTTACAGATTTAATGCAATCCCCAATCGAATCTCAGCAGACTTCTTTATAGATATTGGGAAGCTGATTCTAAAATTCAAATGGAATTGCAAAAGAGCCAGAATAACCAAAACGATCTTGAAAAGGAAGAACAATGCAAGAACGTGGCAGGATTCAAATGTCTTGATTTTAAAACTTACTACATAAACATGGTAATCAAGGCAGGGTGGTATTGGCACAACGATATAAGCATAAATCAATGGAACAGGATTGAGAGTCTAGACATAAACCCACATATCTATGGTCAGCTGAGGTTTGACAAGGGTGTCAAGACTATTCAATGAGAAAAGAATAGACTTTTCAACAAATGGTGCTGGGACAACTGAAAAGCCATAAGCAAAAGAATGATATTGGATCCTTATCTAACAGTATATATAAAAATTAACTAAAAATGGATCAAAGACCTAAATGTAAGAGCTTACACTATAAAAGTCTTAGAAGAAAACTTATGGGTAAACCTTCATGATGTGGTATTTGGCAAAGGATTCTTTGCAAAAGCATAAGCAACAAAAAAAGTTGGTAAGTTGGATTTCAGCAAAATTCAAAATTATTGTGCTTCAAAGAACACCACCAATAAAGTGAAAAGACAACCCACCACATAGGAGAAAATATTTGCAAAGCATACGGCTGATAGGAGATGTGTCCAGAATATGTAATAAACCCTTACATTTCAATAAAAAGACAAATATCCCAATAAAAAGTGGCTAAAGGCCTTGAAAAGGCATTTGTCTAAGGAAGATATACAAGTAGCCATTAAGCCCATGGAAAGATACCCTATGTCATTAGTCACCAGAGAAATGCAAATCAAAACCATGAGCTGTCACTTTACACCCACATCAACTAGAAGAAGAAAGTCTGATAACAACACACATTGGTTATGGAGGGACTGGAGCCCTCAGACACTGCTGTTGGGAATGTGAGTGGTCCTGCTGCTTTGGAAAACATTCTGACAGCTCCTCGAAAGATTAAACATGGAGTTACCATGTGGCCCAGCAATTCCTCTCCTAGATAAGTACCAAAGAGAAATGAACACATGTCCACACAGAAATTCATACACAGATAACCAGCATTAATATATTAATGAAAGCTGAGTTATCTAATATACATAGTATTACAGAAACTCACGGATATGCAGCAT